CCCAGAGTTCCTAGGGACAGGAGCTCCTAAAGCAATTGAGACACAGGTGTCCTTGCAGAGACCAACGGGTCCCCAGACAGGTAGTGCCTCTTTTCCTTTCTCACCAGGTGACAGTACCCGTGAGCGGGCGGTGCCGTTCCAGGACCCCTCGGCACGACCTCTCCATCACCTCCGTGGAGCATCACCAAACCTATGGAATGGCACCAGCCACCCGGGGTTGGCTCTGGCCAGCAGGAACGGGAGCCAGAGCCCCCCTTGGTCTGACCAGAGGGTGGATAAGGGTGTGGATCCTCCTGCTGCCGATAACTCCATCCCTCTGGACTTCAATTTACTAACAGCTACCATGCGGCTCTATGGGAGTGGGGGCACGGGGCTCCCATCCTTCTTTCCAGAACTGCTGCCAGTAGCTGGCCGTTGCCAGCCCATCCCAACCCACCTGCCCATCTGCAGTGTGCTGGGCACCAGCCACGTTCGATTGCCAAATTACCTCCGGCACAGCAGCGAGGAGGAAATTCGGGCAGCTTTGCATGAGTGGGAGGGGCTGCTTAAGTCGCGGTGCCATCACTACCTGGAGTGGTTCCTCTGCTTGCTGCTGCTCCCTGGCTGTAGCCCCTCAGTCCCTGTAACCCCTCCGCCGTGCCAGGGCTTCTGCGAGGCCATCAGAGACCTGTGTTGGACTCACTTGGCTGGTGGGCACCTGCCTCTGCCTTGCGATGTTCTCCCTGAGGAGGATGAAGGGGTTTCTTGTGTCTTTATTAATGCTTCTGCAGGTAATGTGGTGACATCCCTGTGTCGTGTCTCCCCTGCCCAGGCTCCTCCAGGAGCTGGGGGATGCTTCTGCCTTGTGTCTGTGCTGCCAAATCCAAAATCGCTTTCTGTCCAGCCTTGGCTTTTCTGAACTGGCAGGTTTTGGCTCCCTCCACAAGGCCGAGCATGGCTCTCAGTGAATCACTGGGGCCAGCACAGGGGATTCTCTCCAAGTGCATCGTGCTAGCATTCAGGGCCAGTTTCCAGGTGCCACGGGGCTTTGGGGTGTCCATCCTGGCTGGCATCAGAGCACTCGGAGAGCTGGCAGCTCCCTGTAGGAACAGGGCAAGGACCCAAACTCTGTGACCACCCAACCGCAGCACCATGGGGGAGAGGAGGTTTCAAGGTGACCCTCAGCCATGCCCTCCCGCTGCCCTCTCCCGGAGCAGCCCTTTGGGATTAATGATTCACCCAATGGCGGCTAATGTTTGATCCCTGCCGCTTGGAAATGTGGGAGAGGTTACTTCACCCCCAGCTCCATCATTCGGTGGCTGTGACCTTCCAGGGACCTAGACAGGGCAGGGGGTGAGAGACAGGAGTGGGGAGTGACTGGTGCTTGGAGAAATGCAGTTGGGATGAAAGCTGGAGCTCCCCCCGCCTGCCAAAGCCTCTGAATGAGGCTGTGTTCGCCTGCTTGCCCCTGTGCCCTCGGGGTATGGCCGGGAGATACCAAAAAGGAATGCCAAGACTGGGGGCTGGCAAACCAGGGTCGCACACAGGGTCTTCTCGGTGTCAAAGAGGCTCTGTTCAGGGAGGGATGCACTGGGATGATGGGGATGCTTGCAGGGGAGGTGCATTCCCATCTGGGACTGCACTGTGGTTGCTTGGATGGGCAGTGTCGGGCATGAGTAGGGAATGTGGGGGCTGTGGTGCACCCCATGGAGTGACTTGATGTTCTGCTGTGTGTTGGGGAGGGTCCCCTGAATCCCACCTGACAGCCTGGGCTCAGGCCAGGTCATGGCAGAGGGGGAAGGTTGCTTGAAGCACCCTGGGGACCAATGGCAGAATCACTGCATCCAAAGACATCCCCACAGCCATCCCGTGCCAGCACCAAATCCACTGCAGTCCCCACCATATCTCCATGTTCCATGGTGGGTGCTGTCAGTTTGCCACAGGAACGATGGCCTGTGATATTTGGGCTCTGGATGCCCTTTGGAAAAAGCAGGCGTGGCCTGAAAGCTCTGGGGATGAGAAGGGGCACTTGGCTTTTGTAGGGGAGCAGACATTTGAAGAGGTCACCCCTTACCCCTCTGCTCCCCAGTCCCCATCCAGCCTCTGCCACGCAGGAAAAAAGTCCATTTGCTTTGGGAATTGCTAGCACCCAGGTCCCACCCGGGACTCCGGGCGAGTGGTATGTTTGAGGAGGAGGGAGACTCCCAGAGCCTGCAGTTCCAAGGAAAGAATGGTTGCAAATTGCCCTGCTAACAAAAGCCTCTTTCAGTGTGTCCCCAGTCATCCTGAGACGTGGGGGGGACACAATTACTTGTCTGGCTGCAGGAATTGCAGCACTGGCTCTTGCACCCATGTGGACCCCCAGGAGGAAGCTCTGGTTTTCTTTTTCCTTGAAGCTGCTGTGAATTTGTTTTCCTCCAACTCCAGATAAACACAATCCCTGCATCCTGGCATTTGCAGTTGGAACGAGCTTGTGGGGTGCTGAGCATGAGGTGACTCAAGGGCGGGTGACAGGCTGAGAGTCTGGGGGTGGCCCACTCACCCACCCCATCAGTTTTGGTGTAGGGCTGTGCACATCTGGGAGTGAAAGGGTGCTGGACTCCAGGATCCAGAGGTTCTCCTCTAAGCAGACGGGGGATGTCCCATGGAGAAGTCTGATCCCAGTGCAGGGCAGATGAAGGGGCTAGAACTGGTGGAAGACTGGGAAGGAGATTTTCTCCCAGCCAGGTGCTCCATTTTGGAGTGGCAGGGTTGGGGGGGACTGGGGGCTTGGGGAGCAGGGTGGACATGGAGCAGTTTCAGAGGATTGGTGTGTCTGTCTCTGGCAGAGCAAAAATTTGCCCCCTCAACCATTAGTTGATGGAACTTCTTGTGTCTCCACTACTGGGTCCCTGTCATGGGGCTGGTGCTGGCATTGAGGCTTGGCAACAGGGGAGCCTGGAAATGCTCCATGTCTCCCAGGCTTTGGAAGAGGCGCCCAGGTTATTTTTCATCACCATCCCAAGAGACATGCTTTCCTTTTGGGCTGGGCAAGACTGGGCTGATCTTTTTCTTTCTTTTTTTTCTCTTTTTCTTTTTCTTTTCCTTTTTCTTTTTCTTTTTTTTTTAAGAGCTCTGGAGGATAATGCCTAGCTCCAGAGCTGAGTGGAGGCTCCTGACTGATCCTCCTGGGTTCAGCCTGAGATACCTCAGGATACACCTGTGATTCCCCCCACTCCCCACGGCTCACATGAAAATCAGGGATGGAACTGGCGACCCGGAATTGTGTCAGCTCCCGCTCCTGGCTCAGGCTGTGGCCGAAACTCAGCACTGAGTATCCATTCCCAGTGCAGATCCCTCAGCAGTTTTGGAGCCAGGGGTGGTTGGGTTTCCTCCCTCCCAGGAAAGGAGAGGTTAAAAAGCCTCTCCTTTGGAGCTGGCACCAGCCCCGAGCAGTTGACATAGGAGAGGAGGAATCCAGCGCCCGATGTGTGGGCGATGAGGATGTGCTGGCTGCCAGAACAACGGGAGCTGGCGGACAAAGTGCTGGCTCACCCTCACCAGATGTTCAGCTGAGCCGGGTAGGAGAGTCAAGTCTCCAGCAGAACTTCCCCAATTCCCTAATTCTCAATAGGAGTTGGGAAAGGAGGCGACCTCCAAATTGAGAGCATCTGGGAAGCTGAGCTGGCTTGAGCTGCGTTCCCAGGGTGTTGTGAGGGGATGGCTCTGATTTATTCCCAGCTGGGGTGACCGTAGGATCTTGTCCCGGGATGACGCGCGGGGTCACTGTGATCCCGGAGTGAGTATGGATGCAACACGCTTCCCTGGGGGTCCATGGTGCTCCAGCAGCATCTCCCTACCATGGGCAAGACCCCTTTGGTTTTATCTCATCTCAGGGAATCTGAGCAGCCTGGTCTAGTGGATTGTGTTCCTGCTCATGGCAGGGGGATTGGAATGAGATGGTCTTTAAGGTGCCTTCCCAGCCCAGTCAGGCTGTGCTTGTGTGATGACCCAGCTGTGGTTGGAGGGCCAGCAGCTGGGAATGGTGAGCATTTTGGGAGGCACTTCTGAATGATGTGATGGGAGCAGCTCAAGGTCACTGCCTTGGCCAAAGCACAAATCTTGGGGCAGGTGAGAGAAGGGAGCCACTGAAGGACAGTGTATTTGGGAGGCACGGGCAGGGATGTCCTTGCCGAGTGACCATCCTTGCCTGGCTGGTTGAGACCATGACCTGTCCTTTGTCCTCGCAGAGAGCCTGAGTGCCGAGGTCAGCCTGCTGGAGCTGATCGGGGACCCACCGACAGAGGAGATCCACAGAATTTATGGCCCCGACAACAACCCTGGCTACGTCTTCGGTCCCAACGCCAACACGGGCCAGGTGGCCCGGTACCACCTGCCCAGCCCTTTCTACCGGGACTTCTCGCTGCTGTTCCACATCCAGCCCACCACGCCCCGGGCTGGCGTGCTCTTTGCCGTCACGGACTTCTCACAGAGCATCATCTACGTGGGCGTCAAGCTCTCGGAGCTGCGGGCGGGCCAGCAGCAGATTATCTTCTACTACACGGAGCCCGGCTCGCCCACCTCCTACCCGGCCGCCACCTTCACTGTGCCCACCCTGCTCAACCAGTGGACACGCTTTGCCATCAGTGTGGAAGAGGAGGAGGTTGTCCTCTACCTGGACTGCGAGGAGCATGAGCGTGTCCACTTCGAGCGCTCCCCAGATGAGATGGAGCTGGAAGAAGGCTCTGGGCTCTTTGTTGCTCAGGCTGGAGGGGCTGACCCAGATAAATACCAGGTAAGAGCTCGGGTCACCCCAAGGAGCATCTCCCAGAAGCCTGGGGAGATGTGACACCCCCGTGTCCAGAAAACAACCAGCTCCATGTGTGTCCCCGTGGAAGGGGACACCTGAGATGAAGGGGAAGGTGGCTTGAGATGCCACTGATTTATTGTCTTGGGGCTCACCAAGGCAAACCTCTCAACCTGGGCTGGCAGGAGGACATGGGGTTGCCATGCAGCTCCCACCATTGCCTTTTCCCAGCAAACACATGGAGCCTCTTCAGATTCCTAAAAATACCCAGCTCCTTTAGTGGAAAAGCTGATTTGGCTGGGAAAATGTCTCTCTTACATGGAAAAAATGCTTGGGCTGGAGCATATCTTTGCTGGCTGATGGTGGGCATTATCTCCAGGAAGACTTTGGAGAGTGAGGAAGGATGTGATAGCTCAGCCCGTGCTTTGAGCAGGACTCGTGTTCCAGATAAGGGTTGTGGAAAGTGTGGGGAAAATGCCCAGCTGACATGGAAATCCCCTGCAGGACCTGAGGAGAGGAATGTCCAGGTTTATCCTGGGTTGAGCAGGATTTGCCCAGCAACAGAGGCTCTGCTGAGGGGAGTGATGTTTTCCCTGTGGAGTTCTGCAAAGCATGTTTCTGAGCTTAAACATCATCCTGATTGTACTACCTGATTCCCCCTGGATTGGCTTTGGGCAGGGGAAGTTCCCCCGGGAAGGGATTAATAATTAATGGGCTACAAACTGGTTTGCACTGGGATTCGTATTGGTCCTTTGAAGAGCAACTCTTTGCTCTTGAAGAGCAATTTCTTTGCTCTTGAACGTGCTGGGAGGGCCAGCTCATGGCCGTGGAGGAGCTCCTTTCCCCAGCTGGAGGAGTTTGGCACCATATGGAAGGCACAGCAACAGCCTGGAACAGAGCAGACCCTTTTAGCAGGTGATGCTCCCAGCCTTGGTAACCCCTGATCCCACTGCCCGCCCCCGGATTTCCCATGAGGAATAGCTGGCCATGGAGGGCAGGAGGCCTTTGCTGGGTGAAAGAGGAGCAGCATCTGACTGCCTCATGGTGTTTCCATCACTGCCCAGCCCTGCTTCGCCTTATCTGGAACTAACGAGGCATCAAGCGGATTAATGCCTGGCCCTGGGTCAAGCCTCAGGATGAACTTGCTGGGAGGCAGCTGGAGGGGTATCCTGGCACCTCTGCTCTTTCCAGAGTTGCTTTTGTGGCTGTGGCAGGAAACTTGGAGGGGCAAAGCCTGCAGGTGATGCAGAAGCTCCTGGGACAGCAGCTCTCAAGGGAGCAAATGGGGTCTCAGCTGGGGCAGGAGGGTTCATTTGCAGCTGGATGTGGCACTTGGGGACATGGTTTAGTGGGGGACCTGGCAGAGCCAGGCTAATGGTTGGACTTGATAGTCCTAGAAGGCTTTTCCAGCCTTAAGTATTCCATGATTCTGTGGATTCAATGTAAGATCTGTGATGCTGCTGCTCTCTTTATCAGAGCAAAGAGGCTGCATAGGGCCCCTATCACCATCCCTTGTGGGACTGTCTCGCTTCAGGGCTTGGAACTGGCTTGTTTCCCATGCCTCTGGAAGGTTTCAGCCTTGCAGCCCCTGCCCAGCACCACCAGCATGGCTTGGCAAGCCGTGTGCCAGAGCTGGCACCACAAGGGCTGAGCAGAGGTAGTGGCCAGGACCCGGCCAGACACCCAGCAGAGCTTTTGCAGGAATCTTTTGGTTGTGCTCCTTGTTTTTCCTCTCCCGAGGGCTCCTTGGCCACAGCTGACTGCCCTGCCCCACGCAAGGACAGCTGGCAGGTTCTGCAGCCCACATGTTGTATTTCCTGGGATAATCTGCACTTCCTTACTATTTATTTGTGTTTTGCAAGCACCGTGCGCATCCAGGCCACCTGTTTATACAAGAAGCCACCACAAATCCTTTCCTAAGGATGCTGCCTCCAGGCAAACCCCCGTAGCATCCCAGCCTCAGCAGGAGTGGTGGTGTGGGTACCAGCCGGAACCCCAGAGCTCCCACTGCAAGCGCAGTCACCCAGCGCATCCCAGAGCCCAGCCTGGGTCCTCACAGCAAGGTGGAACACAGGGATGCTGTCGGGATGGGAGTCTGCCAAGCTGGGATGCTGCCCATCCATCTGATCCCAGTGGGGAGGAGCAGGAGACCACGCTGGGAAGCGAGTTCAGAGAGGGGAGATACCTCCCCCTTAATGTCTCTCTTTTGGGCAAGACACCTAAAATAATATTTGGGCTGGCCTGAAAGCACAGTGCACCACGTCCGGGAAAGGAGACCTGATGGGCTTAGGAAAATAAGAGGCAGTCGCAGTTCAGCCAGGCTGACTGTGACATAGTATGAATGAATTATAAGTAGATTAAGTTATATAATAAATGTGTTATAAATATATCGTTTATATATAATTTTAAAATTATATAAATTTAAAATTATATCAATTAAAAAATTATATCCTCTAACAAGCAAATGCTCCCATTTGGGTGGTGACCTCCTCCAGCTGCTCGCAGTGCTGACAGCAGATCTCATCCATCCTTTTTCTCCCACTCCACTCGGACGTGGTGGCTGAGTGGCACAGCAGGTCACATCACAGCGGGGCGGCTTCTCTGTGTCCCCCACCCATCTGTGGTCTCCTTCCAGGGGGTGATTGCAGATTTGAAGCTCCGAGGGGACCCGCGTGCAGCCGAGCGCCAGTGCGAGGAAGAGGAGGATGATGCAGAGGTGAGCGCTGGCAGCACAGCTGGGCAGGCTCGGGGGTGCCCCCACCGTGCTCCCAGCTCAGCCCTTACCTTTTTCCCGGGCAAACATAGATCTCCGGGGATTTTGGCAGCGGGATGGAAGGTGGACAGCAGCCTTCTGGCAAGGTCGAGGTGAGTTGCTGCCTGCAGGTGTTGTTGCACTCAGGGCGAGACCCCAAAATTCTAGTGATGAGGAGGGCTGAGTGCCCTGCATGGTGCCTGAATGCCCTGAGTGCCCGGAGGTCATGGGATGCTTGATAGTGTCCCAGCAGCCGTCCCTTATGGGGAGGCACTGAAGGGTGAGCGGTGCCACGGTGTCCCCTTGTTGTTGGCGCAGGGTGTCCCAGGGCTGGTGGACGCTGTCCCTGTGACCTCCCCCCCCGTGGCGGGGGGCAGTGGCCCGAGGAGTGGCGGGGGGTCCCCACAGCAGGCCGAGAGGACCAGGGCGGAGGAGACGCTGCGGGTCTCTGCGGGAGGTAATTCCAGCAGCTTTCCCCTTCCCCAGGGCGCACATGGTGGTGTGGCCGTCCCCAGCCATGACTGGGTCCATTTCCTTTTCCACAGGCACCAGCCGGAAAGGTGAAAAGGGGGAGAAGGGGGAACGTGGCTTGAAAGGGGACTCAGGGACCGGTGGCATCATAGGTCCAGGCAGTGTCAAGGGTCAAAAGGTGGGTGAGAGCTGCTCCCTGTGGGCTCCAGGGTGCCAGTGACACGTCTCTCTCTTTCTGCTCCTCAGGGGGAGAAAGGAGACCTGGGCGTCAAGGTGAGCATTGCACAAAGCCCTGTCCTAGCCAGGCTGCCACTTTAGGGACCTGCCACTCATCTCCATCTCCCTCCCCTCCCCAGGGCAGTGCTGGATTTGGCTACCCTGGCTCTAAGGGCCAAAAAGGAGAACCAGGTGACCCTGGCCCCCCCGGGACCCTCTCTCGGCACACTGACGGCTCGGTGGTGGAGCAGGTCACCGGCCCCCCAGGGCCACCAGGGAAGGACGGAGCCCCTGGCAGGGACGGTGAGCCTGTGAGTCAATTTCCACCCCCCTGCAGGATGTCCCCTGTTCCCCCACCCTACCCACTTGCACACTGACCTGTCCCCTCTCTGCCGTCCCTAGGGAGACCCTGGCGAGGACGGCAAACCTGTAAGTGGGGTGGATGGGGTGGCAGGGTGATGGGAGACAGCCACTCCCTTGCCTTGCCACCTGCTGATCCCCCAGTGCTCCCCTTTGCAGGGTGAAATGGGGCCCCCGGGATTCCCTGGGATGCCAGGGGAGCCAGGCCTGAAGGGGGAGAAGGTGAGTGCTGGTGCTGGGGGCAGAACGTGTCCCCCCTTCCTCTCACCCCCAGCTCAGCTGCACTCCCAAACTGTGTTCTCTCCTCTGTGCCAGGGTGACCCAGGTGTGGGGCCGAGGGGACCCCCTGGACCACCTGGCCCTCCAGGACCGCCGGCACCCTCCTCCAAGAACGACAAGCTGGTGGGTCACAGGGATTTAAGGGATGGCGGGGGGGTGGTCCATCAAGCCATAGCGGTGAAGAGTGCTGCCACCAAGCGCCTGGACAAGCCCCAGTGCCACTGGGTCCCCTGACATCCTCCTTGTGCTTCTCTCCTAGACCTTCATTGACATGGAGGGCTCTGGCTTTGGCGGTGACCTGGAGAGCCTGCGGGTGAGTGGGGGTGAGTGCCTGTCCTGCCAGCTGGGAGTGGGGGGACACCCTCAGCCATGGCCCCCTATGTCTCTTCTAGGGTCCACGAGGGCCACCTGGTCCCCCAGGGCCACCTGGCGTGCCTGGTTTGCCAGGGGAGCCAGGACGGTTTGGGATGAACCGCACAGACCTGCCGGGACCACCGGGGCTGCCGGGCAGGGATGGGATCCCTGGGCCCCCGGGGCCAGTGGTAGGTCTATGGGGTGGCCACGGGGACCCATCCCAGGGCCACTCTGTGGTGGTGGGGGGCTCAGTGCCCACCAGCCCTGCGGGGTTTTACTGTGCTGGAACCAATTCCTGGGATCTAACAGGGTCCTCAGGGTCCTCCAGGAAGAGACGGGGAGGCAGGGCAGCCAGGGCCCAAAGGAGAGCGGGTGAGTGTCCCCTGCCCCATGTGCCCCAGGAGCATGTCATAGCAGGGCAGCTTGCCACAGGGCAGCTGGCACCCCTGGCACATCTCTGGGAGGCCCCAGTTCCTGGGCTGGGGAGCACCATTCTGCTCCTCCCAGGAGCTGGGCAGCTCCTTCACACCCTCCTCTCCCTCCTCCTCCTCCTTCCCAGGGCGATGTCGGTGACCTCGGCCTCCCTGGCCTGCCGGGACCCAAGGTACTGTGCCTAGGGTGGGGTTTTTTGGGTTCTCCATTGCAGACTGGGAGCAAGGGATGTGGCCTGGGGAAGCTATCTTGCACAGGAATGGAGAGGGGAGTGCGGCTATTTGTGCTCCTCCCAGTTCAGTGCCGCAGCTCAAAGGTGCATGGAGCTGCTGATCCCACAAAGGATGCTCACCGGGGTCCTGCCACCCTTCCTTGGCTTTGCTCCAGGCACTGCCACGTCAGGAAGTGGGCAGGAAAACCAAGGGGAGTGTTTCAAGACGCAGAGGAGAGTTTGCTTGGGGGGTGCCTACAACCCACTGGAAAACACTCCATCTTGCGTGCATCGCTCTCTGTTGTGTGCTTGCTCCAGCTTCTTTCCGCCCTGCATCCCCAAGGGTGGAAGTAAAGGCTTGCTGGGCTAGGATGTTGCCCCTTGGGATGACCATCCACTGCAGCCTGAGCTAGGGGCAAAACCCTCAAAACTTAAGGTTTCTTAACCTTAATTCTAACTTTCTGCACTTCTGCAGCACCCAGAGGGCAGATGGAGTGGCAGCGGGTGTAAGATCCAATCCTGTTTCTTCCAGACCCATTGCAATTCCAGGAATGCCTGCGAGCATTCCTTCATGGCACCGAAGCCAGTCCCACGTGCAAAAACACTCCCATTCATGATTTTAGACGACCCTCTGGTGGCCACTGTGGACATTACTTGGGGATCTGGTGGGATGAAGGGTGCCCGAACTGCGCAACGCCCCCTCCCACAAGGCCCCAAGACAGGGGAGCGTCAGGGAGAGCATCCATGTCCTGTCCCCGAGGGAATTTGAGAGGGGATGCTCTGCCTCCTGCTTGCAGGCTCCAGGCAGCGACCACTGCCACCTTCCATCTGTCCCCTTCTTGTCCCCTTTGCAGGGCAGCAAAGGAGAAACGGGACCAGCAGGACCCCCAGGAGAAATGGGCTTAGCTGGCCTTCCCGGGCCCATCGGACCCCGAGGGCAGCCAGGGCCCCCCGGCCCCCCGGGACCGCCAGGGCCAGGCTACGAGGCTGGATTTGTGAGTGGTCACTGCGGTGATGGGGTGGGATGAGCTGGAGCTGGGGACAGACACAGCTCAGCCCCTTCTCCCTGCATTTAGAGTGACATGGAGGGCTCGGGGCTGCCATTCACCCCTGGACCACCTGGACCTGAAGGACCACAGGTAGGGCCGTTCCTGCCCTTTCCCTCCTCTCCATCCTGCGCTTCCTGGAATATTCCCTACCATCACGTCCCCTGCCATCATCCAGTGCTCATGGTCCCCTTGTTGCTTGCAGGGTGTGCCAGGACTGCCGGGGATGAAGGTGAGGAACCCTTCCAACCTGCTCCTGGCTCCATCCATGTAGAATGCCTGCAGGAGGGATGTAGGGATGTCTCTGATACCTCTTTCCTTGCAGGGAGAGGTCGGCAGCCCCGGACAGCCTGGCTTGCCGGGACCAAAGGTAGGAGCCCTGGGAGACTGGGATGGCTTTGTGCCAGCACCTGGGTGTGCAGGGCAGTGGGCAGGACCCCTGTGCTCTCTAACCTGGGGCTGCATCCTGCCCTTTCCCACTCCCATTGCAGGGAGATGCTGGCATGCCTGGTGTGGATGGCCGCCCTGGCCTGGAGGGCTTCCCCGGACCACAGGTAGGAGCCTCAGCTCCCCAGCTCCAGAAGAAGCCCCCACTCCAGGCAGAGCACCCTTGATTGCAGCAGCTCCATCCCCAGCAGCCGAAATTCCCCCTCCCTGCAGTGGGTCCTGGCTCATCACGTGCCAGGGGTGCCCACACTTCTTAGGATCCTTCCCCCCTACCTTGCCGCCCCACTGGCCACCACCTCCTCCCAAAATCATTGCCGCCTGGCTTGTTTCCTGGAGCTGGAGGCAGAGGTGGGGTTGCCTGAAGGGTTTTTTTGAGCCAGAGGTGGGAGGGAGTCTGCACTGGTGAGCCAGAGTCCGTCTCAATGTGGTGCTCACTCCCTCCTGCTCCTCTTTCCAGGGACCCAAAGGTGACAAAGGCAGCACTGGTGAGAAGGTAGGTGCTGCCAGGCTGGGGATGGGGACCAGCCAGTGGTGGCCCTGGGCTGATGGCTTGTGTCTTCCAGGGAGAGCGAGGCCAAGATGGAGTGGGGCTGCCTGGCCCCCCTGGCCCACCTGGTCCCCCTGGACAGATCATCACTGTCTCCAGTGAAGATGTAAGTGGTGGTACCTGCCTTCAGCACAGGGCAGGGGAAGGGGTATTCCAGCAGCCATCGTGAGGGAGACCTGGCCAGCAGCTCTGACCCTCAGAGACAAGATCAGGGAGAAAAGCCTCATTTTGTCTCTTTTTGCAGAAGTCCTTGGTGGCTTTTCCTGGTCCAGAGGTAGGTGCCCTCCTGCCACCTGTGCCCACTCCTCAGCTGTGCCAGGAGGGCACCCTATTTTTGGGAAGAGGGGGTTTGTTCTTAGGAGCATCTCTGCTTCTCTCTGCAGGGCAGGCCAGGCCACGCTGGCTTCCCGGTGAGTCAATGACATGTCTGGGGACCACGGGGTGGCCCTGGTGACAGCTGTGGTTGCCAGACCTGCTGTGTTTTGCTGCAGTGGTGGTGGTGGAGGGGGAGTTTGGGGCCTGCCTTTGGTGGATTGGGAATAATACGGGCTCTTTGTCGTTCCTGCAGGGTCCGATGGGACCGAAAGGAGACCGGGGGTCAACTGGTGTCCAGGGTGCTCCAGGGTTGAAGGTAACTGCTCCAGGCCACTTGCACCCCATGGGATGGTCACATTCCTGGTCCTCCATTCTACCTGGTCACCAGGTGACAGCAGCCCTGCCACAGGAGGGAGCCTGATCCCTCTGTGTCCCTCCCACCTCTTCTTCTCTTGCAGGGGGAGAAGGGGGAGCCCGGGGTCATCATCAGCCCCGATGGGACCATGGTCACTGCCAAGGTGAAAGGAGAAAAGGTGGGTTCCTGGCAGGAATGGGGGGCACATCCCCATGAGGCAAGTGCCAGGTGATCCCAGTGGTGATGCCCTTTCCTTCTCCATTGTTTGCAGGGGGAGCCGGGGCCGCGGGGCCCGATAGGACCATCGGTAAGTCACCATCACCATCCTCCTCCTTGTGTCCCACAGGGAGCGATGGGAATGGTCCTAGGCAGAGGGGGTGCCCCCATACTGAGCATCCTCATCTTCTCTCCATTCCAGGGTCCCCCGGGACGAGCAGGGATGAAGGGAGAGATCGGCTTTCCGGGCAGACCCGTAAGACCTGCTCCCGGTTTGTTTGTGTCCATCGCCTCCACTGCGTCCCCCTTCCCATTTGCACATCCTGCACCCGCTGAGCTCCACACCCTGCCGTGTCCCTGAGGGATGGGGCGCTGCCGGGGTGCCAGAGGTGACTCTGGTGCACCAGATGTGACACCAGGGGCTGGCAGGGGGACGGGGATGAGGCTCATTGTGCTGCTCATCCGCAGGGACGTCCTGGCATGAACGGGCTGAAGGGCGAGAAGGGTGACCCTGCAGACGTGCTGGGCTCACGGGTGAGCACTGCTGTGACCCCCCAGCTGCTGGCCCTGCAAGGCAGGGCACACACCCCAAGAGTCTCCCCGAGGACCCCAGTCCTTTAGGCAAAGGGCATGTCTCCTTCTCTCAGGGGCTGGTTATCTCCCTCCACCTATGGGGGCTGTCTGCTTTGCAGGACCTTGACAAATCTTCTCACCCCACACAGGGTCCCCCAGGCCCCCCAGGACCTCCTGGGCCCCCTGGGCCACCTGGCAGCATAGTCTACAGCAATGGCAATGTGAGTATCCCCACGGTCACCATGATGGACATGCTGGTGACTGGGCCCCCAGTGTCGCCTGCCTGGAGGGCGCTGAGAATGCTCTGGTGACATCCGGGCTGGGGCTGGCCTGTGGGACTGTAACCAGCATTAGGGGGGGTCCCCGAGGATGCTGCTGTCTCTGCAGCCCCTTCCATTGCATCCCCACAGACCTTCAGTGACTCCAGCCATCCAGCGTTCCCCGGTAAGGGGGTGTCCCTCTCCCAGCCCTCTCTGGGCAGTTCAGGGAACCTCAGCAAAGCGGGGCTGGGGAGAAACCCCCTCCCTCCCTTAGAGCTGCAGCTCTGAGATGGCATCTCTGCTGCTCCCCACAGGTTTCCACCAGGTCCCAGGACAAAAGGGAGAGAAAGGTGACACCGGACCCCCAGGACCCCCAGGTAGGTGACTGGTCCCTCCTGGCAGAGGCAGGAAGGGAGTGGCTCATGCCCAACCCAGCTCCTCTCCCCTCCTCTCCTTCTCTCCACAGGCCAGTTCCCCTATGATGCAAGTCACTTCGGGACCAGCCTGAGGGTAAGCCCTTCCAGCCATGGCAGCTGAAACCCAGCATCATTTGGGGTACCCAGTGCACCTCAGCTGCTCACCCTAAGGCTGTGCCATCCCACAGGGTGACAAGGGGGATGCAGGTCCCAAGGGTGAGAAGGGCGAGCCGGGCAGCATCCCACTCTACGGTCCTGGAGTCTCTGGACTTCCAGGGCCTCCAGGGCCCCAGGGATACCCTGGGCTGCCGGTGAGTACCTCATGGGGTGGGGAGTGAAGGGAGGCGCAGTGGGGGAGGCATCCCTGGGGCTTTGCTCCAACAGATGTTCTCTCACGCTGCCTAGGGTCCCAAGGGGGACAGTATTGTTGGGCCACCGGGGCCTCCAGGACCTCAGGGTCCTCCTGGGATCGGATACGAGGGGCGGCAGGGCCCCCCTGGCCCTCCTGGTCCGCCCGGGCCACCCTCCTTCCCAGGTCCCCACAGACAAGGTGAGTACCTGCTCTACTGCATCCCTCCCTGTAGCCCCACATCCCTCCCTGCCACCCCCAGCATCCCTGCTTGTATTCCATGCATTCCTCCTTGCAGCTCTGCATTCCTCCCCATACTGCACCTCTCTCCTTGTCACCCTCCTTCCCCCACAGCTGTCAGCATCCCTGGACCCCCTGGACCACCGGGACCCCCTGGACCACCAGGCACCAGCGGGATGTCCTTGGGGGTGAGTCAGGGCTCTGGGCAGCGCTTGCCTGTGGTGCAAGCAGCCGATCCCTGAGCCCCGCCCCGGGCTATTCCCGCAGCTCCGGGCCATACCCACGTACCAGAGGATGCTGAGCACCTCGCACGAGCTTCCCGAGGGTAGCCTCATCTTCCTGACGGACCGACAGGAGCTCTATGTCCGCCTGCGCGGGGGCTTCCGCAGGGTGCTGGTGAGTTGGGGGGGGCATCCGGCCGGGGCTGCACTGCCAGCCTGGGGGGAGCGAGGACAGCCCTGCCCCGGGACTCCGTGATGATTCCTGGTGATGCTCGGGGTCCCCCCACCCATGCGCGAGGAGGAGGAGAGGGGGGCAGCTGGGATCTGATATGCCATGCCCTTGCAGCTGGAGGAGCACAACCTGATTCCCAGTTCGGCTCTGGTGAGTCCTCTGTTCCCCGTCATGTCCTCATCCCTATCTTCCTTCCTAATCCCATCCCTGTCCTCCATCCTCATCGATCCTCATCCTATCCCCAACCATTCCCATGCCCAACCATCTCTATCCATCAACAATCAACTTCATCCCCTTCTCCATTCATCCCCAACCATCTCCATCCCCATCTTCATCCAACCACAACCATCTCCATCCATCTCCAACATTCTCCATCCCCATCTCCACCTGGAGCACCACGCCCCCCCCCCTCACGCCACGTACCCCTCCCCAGGACAACGAGGTGTACGACAAGCCGCCCACCCTCCACTACGCCGGCCCCCAGCCCCGTGGGCCCCTGCACCCTCTCCGCAACCACGTCCCCCCAGCCACTGCCCGTCCCTGGCGTGGGGATGAGGTGGTGGCCAACCAGCACCGCCTGCCCGAGCAGCCCCTGCTCCACCACCAGCATGAGCTCATCAATGGCTACTACATCCACCGCCGGCCAGACCCTGCCCCTGTGGCCGCCCACGTGCACCAGGACTTCCAGCCTGCCGTGAGTGCCACATGCTGGCCGAGGGGAGCTGATGGTGGCAGCCAAAGCCGTGTCTCTCAAGCCCCGTTGTCCCCTCTTGGCAGCTTCACCTGGTGGCCCTGAACACCCCGCTGAGCGGCAGCATGCGTGGCATCCGGGGTGCCGATTTCCAGTGCTTCCAGCAAGCCCGGCAGGTCGGGCTGGCCGGCACCTTCCGTGCCTTCCTGTCCTCGCGCCTGCAGGATCTCTACAGCATCGTGCGCAGGGCCGACCGCGCTGCCGTCCCCATCGTCAACCTCCGGGTACGTGTGTCCCCAGCCCCTTCCCGACACTCTCTGAGCTCCAAGGGATCACTGAATAGGATCACACAGTCATTACGGTTGGAAAAGATGTCTTTAAGATCATCGAGACCAACTATTAATCCAGCACCACCAAAGTCTGGGATGCAGAGTATAGCAAAGCCCTCATCCATCATGAAGCATCCCCTTCCCAGAGGCTACTGGGGCTTGGAGCTTCTGGGATGTTCTTGGGGTGCAGGCAGGGCTAAACCCCCTCCTCCTCCACTTTCCCCACCCTTCCCACTAGGATGAAGTACTCTTCAATAACTGGGAAGCCCTTTTCACGGGGAGCGGGGCCCCGCTGCAAGCTGGCACCCGCATCCTCTCCTTCGACGGCCGGGATGTCCTGCGGGATGCGGGATGGTGAGTATAGGACTGAGTGATGGGGAAATGGGGTTTGGAGCATGGCAGGGCAGCAGCAGCCCCCCACCCTTCACCCTTCCAGGCCACAGAAGAGTGTCTGGCATGGCTCGGATGCCAAGGGCCGGCGCCTGCCCGAGAGTTACTGCGAGACCTGGCGGACAGAGGAACGTGCGGTCACCGGCCAGGCTTCCTCCCTGGCCTCTGGAAAACTCCTGGAGCAGGTGGCCAGCAGCTGCCAGCACTCCTTCATCGTCCTCTGCATTGAGAACAGCTTCATGACTGCCACCAAAAAGTGATACCTACCTGGCACCTCCTGAGTCCCCCATGTCCCCGGGGAGGGTCGGGCCAGTCTCAGCCCAGCACCCCTGGGCCCCTCAGCCCCCTCCACGTGCCCGCTCTCACCCCACAGGGTTTCCTTCTCCCACAGACCTGAAGCCAAAGAGTATTGCCATGGCCCCTGCCCTGGGTCGGCAGGGGCTCAGGTCTCACTCGGGGCAGGGCAGTCATGCCCTTCTCCTCCTCTTCTAACTCCTAATATTTAACCACTTCAGCTTGTTCCTCTCCCTGCTCGGATGCTCTTTTTGGGGTGACTGGGTAGAAGGATGCTCGGCAGGGAGATTTCAGTGCTGCCAGGTGGGCTGTCCTCCCCAAAAGCCTGTGGGGTCTCTCTCACCAGCCCACTGGCCACACACTCCTCACCAGGAGCTTGGAATTGAACCCAAATCCTTGCTGATGAGGCCGAGGGATCTTCTCCAGCCAAGACCCCAGCATCCCACCCAAGGGACTGTCCCGTGGCGATGCTGGGGCACTCCCAGATGGTCTCCATCCTCCCCAGATAAGGACCACCCCATCATCATCCTCACCTCCACCTCCCGGCCAGCAGAGCTCTGGTGGGGGTCCTGTCTCCCCCATCTCATCTACACACCCTGGGGTCCCCCAGCTGTGCCCCCACAGCCCAGGTACAGCCACAGCCAGCCCAGCACAGGCACTGGGGTGACAGGGTGGCCCTGAGGCGTGGCCAGCTGTGTCCTTGGCACGTGTCTCTCTGTGTATGTGCATGCTGAGCACGTGAGGTACCAAGGGCAGGCACTGCCATGCCCTCCCCGTGCCACCTTTGCTGGGCTCGAATGGCGAAGGCGCAGCAAAGCTGGTTGGAATTGGTGTGGGCAAATCCAAGGTGCTAAAAAAAAACCAAAAAAAAAAAAAAAAAGAAAGGAAAAAAGATAAATTTGTAACTAGCTTTTTTTTGTTATTGTATGGAAATTATTACCATAAAAGCTGTGCGAGTCACACGGTCCCTATTTCTTACAGTCTACTGTATTTTGTGTAATTAATGCAGTTTAAAGCCTGTGGATCTTTATATTATTTTTTTGTCGTTGGTTGTGTCCTATAAACCATTTTCTAAAGGCACTGAATAAAGAAACATCTTCTTGTAGCCTGGCTTCGTGCCATGATGGGGATGCAGCGGGATGGGGTTCCCATCCATCCATACCCCTGCGTGGCACACAGTGGCGGCACCATGTGGATCCTGCCCCCACACCGTGCCTGGGGACGGGGAAGGGGCGTGGCCCTGTCCTCATGGAGCACAAAACGTGTCCCAAGTGTTACATCCTGGATAGAACAGCACCCAGCACCAGCAGTGTGACAGGACACCAAGCACACGGTGGCGATGACAGTGCTTACTCCGGGAGCCAAGAGCCGGCCACAGTGTCTCAGTGCCAGCGCTCAGGCTCGCACGGTGCCTGCCTCTGGGCTTTTCTCCTGTGCTGGAATCTCCACTGGGAGCTGGCACGGCTCCTTGGCCAGGGCCAGCTCTACCGGCTGCCTGCGGTGGCTGTGCTGGACACCCACTCCGATGGCCGCCAGCAGGTAGACCACGGCCAGCAGCGTGAAGTAGCCAAAATACACATAAAACTGCAAAAGAGAAGGGAGAACAGCACTTGGAGCCCTCCCTTCATCCTGCACCATTCAGGGACCACCTCCATCCCAGGTCTCCCCCATCCCTACCTGGGGATGCACAGATAAGCCCAAGCCCCTCTTGTCAGCCACGATGATGGTGATGATGGTCTTCAGCACGGTGGCAAAGAAGGTGTTGACCCCGAAGACCAGAGCGCAGAGCTCTTTGGAGAGGGAGGTAGCAATCTGGAAACTGGGGAAAAACGGGAACACTGGTGAACTCCTGGCATAGACCCGGCTGCCGGGGTGGGAGCAGGTCCCCAGGAGCACCACGCACATGGCAATGGGCACCAGAAACTGGTGGGAGCCACGGAAGAGGACGTAGGCAACATAGCACAGCCAGATGTTGGTGGTGGAGTTCATGAGCAGGAGCAATCCTGCCTGGAATGCCGTCACCACTCCAATCACCAGCTCTGACCACAGCGTCCAGCGGATCTTCAGGTAGCCAGCAGCGAAAGAGGCCACAGCTCCTGGGGAGGGATGAAAGATGTTGTGAGCACCTGAAGGATCCCCTGCCCTACCTAGGGACCCATCCCAGTGATCATCACATCATCCCCAATGCCAAATCACCAAAAATTCCATAAGGACCACCATTCCTAAGGGGTACAGCAGGACAGCAGTCGCCCCTTGCCTTTCTGGTGTCCCCAGCCATTCCCACAGGAGGCAGCAGGATGTGCGTGTCTCCTGACACCCCCAGTGTCCCTATCCCAGGCAAGTTACCCAGCAGCGTGGAGGCAGCATCTACGCCTCCATTGTACACCTGGTGGTTGTTCGTGGTGAGAGAGATCTCATTCCAGAGGATGTGTGCATAGTACAGCATCAGGTAGTATCCAGCTGAGTTGAAGACCCACCACAAGGACCAGAGGCGGAGCTGGGGCTGCCTGGCCAGTGCTCCCAGCTCCCGCAGCATACGGCACAGTACCATGTCCCGCCAGCCCCGTGTCCCCCCGCCACCATCCCCCCCGGCCATCCTGTCCAGCTCGGTGGGCACAGCGGCGTCGCCAGCCTCCCTAGGCCGGTTGAAGAAGAGGCTGCGCCGGGGCCGCTCGAGGAAGAGGGTGAGGATGAGGCCAAAGCTGACGAAGCCCAAGGAGATGTAGTTGAGGGTGAGGAAGGAGACGCCGCCTAAGGAGACGCAGAGCTGGCCCAGCACGGAGCTGGTGAAGACCCCCAGGAGCACGGCAGAGCGGGAATAACTGGCCATCCGCTGGTAGCGGGACGGGGCGACTAGGGAGAAGATGTAGGAGGAGTAGGCGATGCGGGCGGCCATGGTGATGCCGTAGAAGAATTCCATCAGCTGCATGGCCAGGATGGAGGTGCCCAGCACCAGCAGCAGCCAGATGGAGATGTGGCTCAGGCTCTGCAGCACCAGCACAGGCTTGTAGCGCAGGTAGTCCGTCAGCAGGAAGATGGGCACCAGCACAGCCATGTAGGAGTAGGACAGCACCGGCGTGATCACGTTGGTCACCTGCCGTAAGGGCAAGGAGGGGCTGAGCACCAGGCACATCGCTGGGGATGACCCCCAAGCTGCAGGCAGTGTGGGCTCCGGCTGCTGACCCCCATGGCAGCACCTCCTCAGAGAGGAATGCAGACTAGCAGGGTGCTCAGCTGGGGGTCTGGCTGAGCCATGGCCCCTTCCTGTGCCGGAACGCAGTGTTCCCACAGGCGCAGCAGCTGGCTGGGATCAAGGCCAGCATCCCTTGGTAGGGAGACAATGATATTGTGGCCCCTCCTTGTCTAACCCTATTGTTGCCAGCGGCTTGGCAATACACCATGCCATCATGGAAAAGTCTCCCCAGTGGGATGGGGCATGGCTTCTCCCAGCCTACCACCCTCCCACCGTCCCACAGGCTGCTTAGGTGGGCAGGGGTCACACACTGCCCCCAAAATCAGTTGCCAGCCTGGGCATGAGGTTTTATGCCAGGGCAAGTTGAGCCTGGGACTCAGAGAACAGGGTGACCTCACAGCCAAGTGAGACAGGGCGCACACACACACACACACCCCACATCACCTCCCCTGCCCAGAAAGCACCACCATGAATCACCACACTCTGCCATGCCCAGGACATGAACGATACCCTTGTCCACCCCAGAAGCACGGAGGGATGCTCTGGGCAGCCCCAGGATAGTGACCATGGCCATAAAAGGAGACACCAGCGTGGGGGACCAGGTGCCCACAGCTCACCTCTGTCTTTGTGAAGTTCTTGTCAGCCCCCAGCAGATAGGGGGTGATGAAACTCTCCCCGGGCCGGATCTGTGTCATGAAGCCATAGAAGCAGAGGTAGAAGACTTGGAGCTTCCAGCGCTGGTCTGGCATCGCCTCCGACGCCGGCTTTTTGGCACCATCACTCTTGGGCATGGCTCTGCAGCAGGACAGGGGCATTATCCCGGGAGCCATCAGCTACACAGGCTCTGCTGGACCACGTAGCCCCTCCCTGTCTGCAGGCGCTCTCGGACGCATGGAAAACCAGGGCGCTGCAGTTTCTGTGGAAAAAGCAGCATTTGGCACTGGTTCAGAATTCCTCCAGAATCACAAGGCAAATAAATACCACTACCTTCTCCCCAGGAGATGTTCTGGGAAAAAGAAAAGCAGCCGTGCGCCTCGCTGTGCAGAAGCAGGGGGAGTCATTTCGGGCGGCATTTGTACGTCACGTGCATCTGAAGCCTGGATGCACGGAGCATCTGGATCCACGGCGGGGCATCCTCAGCTCCTATCACCTCCTTTTCCTCCCATTTAAGACTCAGTGGGGTTTTGCCGCTTCCTGAAGCAATGCTTCCCTCTGAGTTGCAGAGGCAGAGGGATGCAGACGCCCTGCGCTAGGTTTGCTCCAGAGGGGATGGCACAGGAATGTGCTGTCTGCAGAAATGAGTTAATGTGCACACCGGGCACGGGGCCACCCATGTCCCGTGTTACTCAGTAGCTGGGTGGCTGGCAGGACCTCAGCTGAGCCACAGGCAAGCAGCTGCCCTTGGCTCCTCCCGGTGGGACACAATGCCCAGCCTGGGGAGAATGCAAAATGCCACGAGGTTCATGGTCTAGAGGGAGATTAAAAGCTCAGATCTTGAGGTTTGGCTGCAAAAAAAAGGAAAGCTGGCAGTGCCAGGAGACCTGATTAGCAGTCACGGGATGAGAGCAGGGACAGAAGAAAGCCTGGACAGGGTGTCCTCCCAGCGCTCCCCACTCCCACAAGAAGTCACCGAGGTGACTTTTCATGCCATGAAATTCTACGTATGCCAATATACGCCACGGGAGCAAGGTCTAGAAACCTAATTACCCTGATAACCACAGAACAACTAATCACAGTCATTAAAAACTAAGTTCATGGTCCTTGTCTGTGTCCCACTGGATTCTGCATGGTGAGAACTGGGGGATAATCCCTCACTGCTGCCAGGTAACAGGACTGTGATAAATGTGATTCGTGCTAATTAAATTGTAACTATATTAGCAAAATTGTATTTAGATCAATAGAAGACCATTGTTACCGAGTGAAAGGGGGGGAGATGGGTGAGACAGGACAAAAGACATCTTCCAGATGTTGGGAGTCGAAGAAGAAGGTTGGAAGAAAGTCAGATAAGAATAGTAGAAGGACGTAGGTCTGATAAGCAGCATCTAGAAATAGAGCTTCAAGCTTGAAGTTGTCCACAATGGAATGATTCCAAGCATGGGACTTAATTAGAGTCATGTTATGGAAAACATCTGCTCAGTCAGGGCGCCTGTGCTACCTGCAGGTCACACCTAGGTCACTGATGAAGATGATGAGCCTTCACCGGAAATAAGACCCTCAAAAGGATGAGAGACCCCCTAACCCATTGGTAGAGCATGCGCCGTGCAGTATAGTTACGTAGATCTTAGGAATAGAAACTAGGAGGAACTTCTTAGAAACTTTTGTAGCCTATAGTATATAAGTGGGATTGTTAGCCCGAATGCTTTGGTACGAGAGGAAGGGCAGGCCCCTCCCCGTAC